ATGAGGATGAAACACAGGATCTATATACAGGCCCATTGAAAACAGGCTCCTGCTTGAATATATATATATTTATACTCATAATTCTAGATCTGAACACTCTACAAGCCACTATTTAAATAGACCCATGACAAAGATAAAACTTAGTCCCAGGAATCCATGTAACATATTATCCCTGTTCCCTATTCTCTCATAAAAACTATGTCCCACAGAGTTTGTGTGGCTAAATATTCCTCTTTGCATCATTGGGGTTCAGGCTGATTTGCCAGTCTTCAGCCGAATTAAATAGATCCACTGCCTTTCCATATCAACCTGATCTTGGTCTAGACAGGCCCATTGCTTCATGCCAACAGTGAAGGGCAGAAGGTCACATGCATGGGAAAGGCTTCAGAAAATCGTCCTAAAACCCAAGAAGGTTTTGCTCCTCCCAAATTAGGAAACGACACAGAAATTTACAAAATCTAGTATTGCACAGCAGCAAATATATAGTTACCAGAGAGTTATGAAAAAGATGAAAAATCTATGAAAAAATAATGCCTAAGAATAATCAGCTTTGATTCACAGAAAAATAATACCAAACCCATCTCTGAGTTGGACAATGGATGTATAATGTATATTAGTACATTATAGAGAAATAAATTATGGGGAATTGGGTGAATGTCATAAATCTGGGAAGGATGTTGTAGCCTAGATTCCTCATTTTACACTTGAGAAAATTCTAGCCTAGGAAGGTAAGGTAGACTGCCCAAGGTCACCCATCTAGTAGCAGAAGTTTTAGAACTAGAATGTAGCTCTTTCTGACTCCCTAAGCCTGTGCTTGTGCCATAAACTTTGAATTATATCCCAATCCCCAAGAAGTCTGTGGTCACCAGAGTCACTGGGGAAGGAGAGGAAAGTAAGGGAGGGGAGCAGCAGGAGGGGAAAGGGGCAGGAAAGTCAGACCCTCAGAGACCATCCCCACCTCTCCCTAGGCCAATGCTGCAGCTGCCGCCCTGGACAAGAAGCAACGGGTCTTTGACAAGATGCTGGCTGAGTGGCAGCAGAAGTGCGAGGAGCTGCAGGTGGAGGTGGACAGTTCACAGAAGGAGTGCCGCATGTACATGACAGAGAGTTTCAAGATCAAGACCGCCTACGAGGAGTCCCTGGAGCACCTTGAGTCAGTGAAGAAGGAGAACAAGACCCTGCAGGGTGAGTCAAGGGCAGACAGGTGGGCCTGCAGGGACAAAGACACAGCCAGAGCCCTCTTTCTCCCAGGCACATCATGGGTTTAAGCATCTGGTACACAGTAGGTGCACAATAAATGTTTGTTGACTGGCTGGCAAGAGTTTTGTAGAAGCACTTGAGCACTCAGTAATAGAACTTCAGGCAAGTGAATTACTTTAACTATCTGTACCTCAATTTTCTCATCTATTAGATAGGGAAATAATACTGCCTTCCTTGTAAGGTTGTTGTGCCAATGAAATACAAAAAAAATGTGTCAAGTCTTCACTTAGTAGAATAGCTGACACAAATAAAGGCTCAATAGATTTTATTTTAGCCCTTACACCTGTCATATGTCAGTAATATACACATGTATACATATTTCTTACATATAAGAGTTTCGGGCTAGAATTTGAGGCCTGGGGGGTGTTGCGGGGGGAGTGTCTCCAGAAAGGGAGGCCTTGTATATAGAACTAACAGCCCCTAGAGTTCTGGGCACTGGCCCTAAAGCTACTCTGTGCTTGCTTATTCTTCTCTGGGCTTCAGACCCTCATCTAGGGTGTCCCAAAATTCACGCAAGATTTGCAATTCAATTCAATTTCAAATCTTGCGTGAATTTTGGGACACCCTATATAAAAAGAGGAGCTTGGATCCACTCAAGCCCTGATGCCCCACGAGTCTATGACTTGGAGTGTATTGCTTCTCTTTTGATACAGTGAGGCTAGGAGTGCCTGCTTCTGACCTCAGTGGAGAAATATCTGTGCCACATGCCATGATCCTGGGAAGCTGGTAGTCCTCATGAGCCTTATTAACAAGAATATTCTTTTTTTCAGAGGAGATAAAGGAACTGATTGATCAGTTGGGCGAGGGAGGACGGAGTGTGCATGAGCTGCAGAAGTTAAAGAAAAAATTAGAGATTGAGAAGGATGAACTCCAAGTGGCCCTAGAGGAAGCTGAGTCTTCCCTGGAGGTAACCTCATGGCTGTCTCTTTGCGGGTGGAACACTTGGCCAGGGTCCGCAGACCTGCTTAGCCAGAAAGACTGACACTTACATTCCTGGCAGGTTGAAGAGAGCAAGGTGATTCGAATTCAGCTGGAACTGGCTCAGGTTAAGGCTGACATCGACCGGAGAATTCATGAGAAAGAGGAAGAATTTGAAGCTACGAGGTAGGGGGCTGACAGGATGGGAGGCTGACTTGGATAGCATGATGGAGCAGAGTCCAGAAACCTGGGTCTCTGCCACTTACTAGTCATGTGATCTTGGGCAAATAAGATGAACCTCTCTGAACCTCAGTTTCCACATCTGTTAAACGGTAATAATGGTAGTACTTTATACAGATGGGATACTCTGTGGTTAACAAACACTTTGAAATGTCTTACTTCAATGATTCATCACAAAACCCCATGAGATAATAATCCAATTCAAAAATGGACAAAAGGCATGAATAGACATTTCTCCAAAGAAGATATACAAATGGCCAATAAATACATGAAAAGATGCTCAATAACACTATTTATTAGGGAAGTGCAAATCAAAACTACAATTAGATACTACCTCACACCCAATACAAGGGCAACTATAAAAACAACAACAGAAAATAGCAAGTGTTGATGATGTAGAGAAATTGGAACCCTTTTACACTGTTGTGGGAATGTAAAATGGTACAGCTACTGTGGAAAACAATATGGAGATTCCTCAAAAAATTTTAAATAGAATTATTATATGATCTAGCATTTTCACTTCTGGATATATACCCAAAAGAATTTGAAGCAGGGTCTAAAATAGATAATTGTATATCTGTCTTCATAGCAGCATTATTCTTAACAGCTAAAACATGGAAATAATCCAAATGTTCGTTGACAAATAGATAAACAAAATGTGATATATACATACAATGGAAAATTATTTAACCTTAAAAAGGAAGGGAATTCTGATACATAATAAAACATAGATGAACTTTGAGGACATTATGCTAAGTGAAATAAGCCAGTTATAAAAGGACAAATATTGTATGATTCTACTTCTATGAAGTACTTAGAGTACTCAAAATTATAGAGACAGAAAGTAGAACGATATTTGCAAGGAGCTATGGGGAAGGAAGAAATGGGGGTTATCATTTAATGCAACGGTTCTCAACCTGTGGGTCACACCATCGGAAAACACATATAGCATATCAGATATTTAATTACAATTCATAACAGTAGCAAAATTACAGTTATGAAGTAGCAATGAAAATAAATTTATGGTTGGGGGTCACCACAACATGAGGAACTGTATTAAAGGGTCGCAGCATTAGGAAGGTTAAGAACCACTGAAATGGGTATAGAGATTTTTTTATAAGATAAAAAGAGTTATGGAGATAGATGGTAGCACAACATCATGAATGTATTTAATACCACTGAACTATATGCTTAAAAATGGTTAGGTAGTAAATTTCATTTTATGTATATTTTGCCACAATAAAGAATTAGAAAAAACTACCTGTGAGATAGATGCAATTCTCCAACTAACAGATGAGAAGATGACAGCTTCCTAATCACCTCTCTGAGATGTGGAAAAGATTAAATTATAGATATGAAAGCATGTTGTGAAGAGGAGCCCAATGACTCTATAGCCAGTAGGCTAAACCTAACCCTCACCCTAAATTTCTAGCTATGCCACTGTGTGTGTGTGTGTGTAAAATCTAAAATGGAGTGTATGTGTGTGTGTGTGTGTGTGTGTGTGTGCAACAGCTTTATTAAGATATAATTCAGATACCATACAATTTACCCGTGTTAAGGGGAAAATTCAATGGTTTTTAGTTGTGCAACTATCACTACAATTTAAGAACATTTTCATCACACCCCCAAAGAAATACCATTTACTTTAGTAGGCAAACCCCATTTCTCCCCCACCACCACCACCAGCCCCAGCCTTAGGCAACAAATAATCTACTTTCTGGTTTTTTGAATTTGCCTATTCTGAACATTTCATATAAATGGAATCATACAATATGTGGTTGTTTGTGACTAGATTGCATTTATTCCCACCTTAACAATATTAAATCCATAAACATAAATATTTTTCCATTTATTTAGATCTTCTTTAATTTTTTTCAATGTTTTTGCTTGTTTTTATTTTTAACCCAAAATGAGTTCCAATTTTGTTCACTTTTGAGAATGTCATGATATCCTTGCCCATATCTGCAAATTGAATACACTTCAAAGTACTGCAAATCCAGCAACATGCCTGCACATAGTGGGTGTTCAGGGGTGAAGCAGAGGTGAGCATAATGTGGACAGGATCTTTACATGCTAATCATTTATTTGCCTCAATGAAACAATTATTTTTTTAACATTTAAATTAACTCCTCTGGTCCCCTCCTATAAAAGGAGATTAATATAGTTTATATGAGGGCTTTATGGAAATGTTTATGTTAATTACAACATAATTAATATATATATTAAGAACAATCAATGAATTATTTTGAAGATAAATATATATCTAACTTGTATAGTAAAAACTCCTATTTTGTAATAAATAAAACTGGACCTCAGCATCTAGGTTTGAATGCAACTCACTGTGGGCTAAATGAATGACCTTTGGCATGTTTTCCATCATCCTGGAACCTCAGTTTTCTTGCAGGACTGTTTTTATGTTAAATTAATCGATATCACAAAAGACATGTGATAAACTTTCACCTTCCAACATGCTATACTCATCTTGATGCTCAGAAGTCTCTTATCTAGGTTTCGCATAGACTGAATGTGCTTGTCCAGTACGTCAAGGCCTTCTCTGCTTGGACTTGTAGGAAGAACCACCAGCGGGCCATTGAGTCTTTGCAGACCAGCCTGGATGCAGAAGCCAAGGGCCGGGCAGAGGCACTTCGCCTGAAGAAGAAGATGGAGACTGACCTGAATGAAATGGAAATCCAGCTGGACCATGCCAACAAGAACAACAGCGAACTTGTGAAGACACTGAAAAGGCTACAACAGCAACTCAAGGTAGTGACCTGGGAGGGGAAAGAACTAATCACAAAGCAAGCCAATCTCAAGCCTACAGGCTTACAGAAAGATAACTTCATGCATGTTTTCAGCTAGGATAAAGGCAAGAGAGTGAGAACATGGGGTGGCTGGCATTCTAGGGAGCAGGAGACTTGGAGACTATAAATGAGAGGTCCCGCCCAGCTGGTATGGCTCCGTGGATCGAGCATCGGCCTGCGGACTGAAGGGTCCCAGGTTCGATTTCGGGTCAGGGCACATGCCCGGGCTCGATCCCCAGTGTGGGGAGTGCAAGAGGCAGACAATCAATGATTCTTTCTCATCATTGATGTTTCTATTTCTCTCCCCCTCTTCCTTCCTCTCTGAAATTATTAAAATAAATAAATAAGAGGTCCCAACCACCATAGTCCATATCCAGGACCACTGGAATAAGAGGGGAAAAGGAGAGAAACAGGAAGTTGAACCTGTCTTAATTTTTAAAATCATTTTTTACTTATTATAAATGATTTCAGACATAGAAAAATAAATATAAACACCCATGTACCCACCACTCACTCACCTTAAGAAATAAACACAAATAGAGGTGAAGTCCTCCTTTATCACTCTTCATCATCAGGTTGGTCTTTAAAGCATGTATAGCTGGTTCCATGCATTCAACATGTGTTTACTGGAGACCTGCTCTGTCCAGGCTCTGTATTAAGTGCTAGGGGTAGGAGAATGGATGAAACAACAAATATCTTTGCAGGTAGACAATAAGCAACAAATAAATAAAACTGTAGCATAAAAAAATGGTAAGTGCTATGGAGAAATAACAAGACAGGGGAAGAGAGATGGGGATTAGCCAGTTGAGGTGTAACTGTCAAAGCTCATTGAGGAAGGACTCTTGAGAGGCCCTGCTGTAAACACCAGGCTGTGACTCCCTGAGGGCAGGTCTATGCCTCACACTCTTCCTCTGTGGCCTCCATTTCCCCATTTCCACCCCAGCTCCCTCCTGAGCCAGGTCTGTGAAGATCAGAGCACCCTTAGTCCTGGCCAGCCCAAAGAGATGAGCTCAGATTGTGTCTTCTTGTCCCCCAGGATCTGCAGGTCCAGATGGACGAGGATGCCAGGCAGCACGAGGAGCTACGGGAGCAGTACAACCTGCAGGAGAGGCGCCTGAGCCTGCTGCAAACGGAGCTGGAGGAGGTGCGCTCAGCCCTGGAGGGCAGTGAGCGCTCCCGCAAGCTGCTGGAACAAGAGGTGGTGGAGATCACAGAGCGACACAATGAGGTCAACGTCCAGGTAGGACGGTGGCTCCCTGGGAAGTGCCATGGAAACTCATACTCAGGATGCCAGGGCCAGCCCAGACCTGTGAGCTCCCCTCAGAATTCAGAGGCAGCTAATGTCCTCATTCCTCAAGTCCTCGAAACTCACCAGCAGAACTTTGTTGTTGTTGTTGTTGTTATGGTAAAAAATAATAATAACAACATAAAATGCACCATCTTAGCCATGTTCTGTGCACAGCACAGTGTGTTAACTACATGTACACTGTTGTGTACAGCTTTTAAAGACAGGCTCCCAGAGACTCCCCTGGAGATTCCGATCCAGTGGGTCCATGGTAGAATCCCAGAAATCTAAACTTTTAGAAACTCTTCAGAAGAGTTTAAGTGTTAAGCCAATTTTAAGCAAGTGTAGCTGAGGCTAGAACTTCAGAACTGGGAGTGATCTAGAATATTCCAAAGTCTGACTTTCATTTTATAAATGAAGAAAAAAATGGGCCAAAGAGTTGAGTGGTTTATCCATGGTCAACATTGGGAAGCCCTGTCTGCTACTAATGGTAACACCAGTACTGCTTACTGTTCACAGTGCAGTCCTTTACTGGCATGGCTTAATACTTACTCATCATCTCATGTGAATTTACCAAATGAAAAAATGTACATGGGACATATAGGGGTTATCCCATTTAGAGGCTGGAAGACCAAAGCCTAGAGGTAAGGAATTTATCCATGTAGGTGGAAGTACCCAACCTTGAACTGGGTTTTCCAAGCTCTGAGTTCAGAATTTGTCTAGAGCTGCCATCCTCCTCAGGCCTAATGATGTTATTCCTGGGCTCCTCATGATGCAAATTCTGCTCTAAAATCCAGAGAAGAATACAGAGGAAAGACCCTCACTCCGAGCAGGGTCCTAGAGCCATTTCCTGTTAGGGTGTCTGACAAGCGTGTCTGGGAGAGGGTCATTTTCTTTCCTGGAAACAAAAGGGCTGTGCAGACTCCTGTCTCACAGCAATTCTTTCATTTCCTCCTCCAGAACCAAAGCCTCCTGGTGGTCAAGCGCAAGTTGGAATCAGATGTCCAGCGCATCTCCAATGAGCACGAGGAGCTCATCAGCGAGTTCCGCTCAGCTGATGAGAGAGCCAAGAAAGCCATGACTGATGTAAGTATGTGCACTACCTGCTGCTGGTGGGAGGGGGACAGGGCACCCCAGGCCAGGCCACCTGCTGAGGACCCGGCTACCCTAGGCAGGGAAGGCCACCACCTCTCCTTGAGTCACTATGGAGTCCTGGCACCCTGCCAGAGGGATATGGTCCCGGCTCTGAGGAGACCAGAGTCTGGAGGAATACTTACAAGCTACACATGATCATGTGAGAGATTAGAGAGTGCAGCCTGGGGACACAGACCAAAGGAGCCATCGATGTGGACTCATCTTGGCAGCCTTTTTGGCAAAGAAGAACATCAAACCAGCCTTAAAGGGAGGGTTAGTGGGAGGAAAATGGGTGCTGTGACCAGAGGCTCAGGGGTGGATGTTAGCAAGATGTGCTGCCAAGTATTTTTATCCCAGTATCCCTTTGGGTGCTCACATGGACCTTGAGTGTAGATACTATGTATCCCCCTTTAGGGCTGAGAAAATACAGATTTTCTTTTCTCACACTTAATTGAAATGCCAGGAGCTCAGGAACATGTTGGTCTAATTTGGTGGTATGTCTCAAGACATAGCACACAGTAGGTCCTCCATGAATATTTGTGTAATTAATGTAAGAAGAGTGGGTAAAACGACTTACCAAATGGGTACAGAACTCCACCTTCCTACTCTAGATCTGTGATTTTCCCACCCTCTGTGCTATGCCCCTCTTGGATGATACAGCAAAGAGTTTGGCTGGAGAGCACCAGGCTGGTGGAGTCCACGGGATTGGAAGGCCTGGCTATGAGTGGATGACCCTGCCTCCTCCCCTTGCACTTGGAAGGACACGGGAGCCTGGAGCCCCCTTGCATCAAACCCCAGCAGTGTGTTAGTGAGGTTCCTCAAGTCAACCACTTGGCTTCTGAGAGACTGGGAGACAAGGTTCCTCACCTCTCAAAGGCACTATGAGTCTGGATGCAGACCCAGCTCCAGCTCGTGCTCTTCTCCTGGTCTCCCACAGGCTGCCCGCATGGCAGAAGAGCTCCGGCAAGAGCAGGACCACTGCATGCACCTGGAGAAGATCAAGAAGAACTATGAGATCACCATCAAAGACTTGCAAGCCAAGATGGAGGAAGCTGAGCAGCTGGCTCTGAAAGGAGGAAAGCGCACAATCATGAAGCTGGAAACCAGGGTGAGGGCAACACTGAGCTGGGCTAGGAGAGAGATATGGCCAGGCTGGAGTAGGGAGGAGGTCTTTTCCCAAAAAACATACCCAGCATTTGATGAGGTTGTTCCAGAGCTGGGAAAGAAAAGGAAATTGAGGCAACAGCTCTAATTTCTTTATACAGAGGTCTCCTCTCCTCCTCCTCTCCTGGTCATCTTCCCCCAGAATTTCCTTAGCCCCCAAGCAGAGCAGTTTCCCATATACTCGTCCTCTTTGTTCCCAGTCTCGGCTTCCAACATTATTCCTCTCTTACTGCTTACCTAAAATAAGCCTTTACTTCCTGGAATGTTGAAGCTGGAAGGGCCCAGGAGGTTTGGTCACCTTTTCTGACCCCTGCCTCTCCCATTTCTCAGAGGAGGAAACTTGAGGCTCAGGGAAAGTAACCAATTTACAAAGGGCCTGACCCCTCCGGTCCAGGGCTCACCTATTCACCTCTGGGTAGGAAGTGGACACTGTAGCCATGACATCCCTGTCCAAGGTCACTGAGCTCTGAAGTTCAAAAACATACATTTCCTCAGCCACATTCCTCTCCTCCTTCCTCAGATCAAGGAACTAGAGACAGAACTGGATGGCGAGCAGAAGCGGCATGTGGAGACAGTCAAGACTCTACGGAAGAATGAGCGTCGCCTCAAAGAGCTGGTCTTCCAGACAGAGGAGGACCACAAGACCAATCAGCGCATGCAGGAGCTGGTGGAGAAGCTACAGAACAAGATGAAGGTCTACAAGCGGCAGATTGAAGAGGCGGTAGGTGCTCACCACACATCCCTAATTCTCCCTTTCTTCCCAGCCCAGGTCTCAAGCCTCGATTAGAATTAACCACAGGGAAGGAATAAAGTATTGGCCAAAAGATGACTCCCATGAGTCTCATGTCTATGGCATTTCATCCCCACTATCATGTGAGAAGTGGACTGGACACTACACACTGGCAATAAGAATATGTAAAAAACAAACTTGTCCTCTAAGAACATCTATGTTGGGTGAAGTACCCACTGAAGGGTGTGCTCTAAAATCAGGGAAGGTCTTAGCTTCCTTTGTCCTTCTTCTACTGACCCTGTGGCCTCTGCCAGGATAACCTCTCTTTCCTGGTCATACTGTTAAATACAAGGACTTACCTTTATTTGATTCTCCTGATGCAAGGCAGGAAATCTGGTATTTTTAGTCCATTTCACAAGTGAGTAAACAGCCCAGTGTGGGGTATTTATGTTAAAGTCAAAGTCAAATAGTTGGCAAATAGTGGCTTCAAGTCTCAATCCTACACCACATGTCCACTTACCACCATCATCCGAGACATAGATATTTGACTCTGCTATCATTTGCTGCCAGTTCTGGGACCACCATGTTGAACCTATCAGCCACTGACCTACTCAAAGCCCTTCCCCAAAGGCTCAATACAGGCCAGGCATACAGTAAATATGGTCTAAATAAAACAACTACGTCTTTACTGGGAAGACAAGGGGATGGGAAATGTGTGGTGGGGGTTAGGGGAAGAACTAAATCCACAACTTCCAAGTGGGGTCCCAATAACTAATGCCTAAAACCACAAATTATAAAAGCAGCAACAGAGCACATTTTATTTAGAAATATGGATGTCAAGGCCAAAAAGAATTATCTAAAAGTGTTGAGACAGTTGTCCGTGGTAAGCTGGAGGATGACCCTGACCCAGGACTGCTGTTTTGTAAAAGCCTTATTAGAGCAATTACACTCTTAAGATGACAATGCAGAACAGGTAACAAACAGAACACATTTAACCAGAACAAGCCAGGTTCACATCCCACTTTCCACTGTGTCTTTGCTGCAGGAGGAGCAGGCCAACCAGACCTTTGCTCGCTACAGAAAAACAGTGCATGAGCTGGATGATGCTGAGGAGCGGGCCGGTATGGCGGAGACTGCTCTGAACAAGCTGCGCACCAGGCACCGTGTAGCCGGCAAAGGCATCACCTCCGTTGAGATCATCCAGGTGTCCAAGACAGGCTCCTCCAAAACGCTTTCTGAGGAGTGATGTTCTCCATGTCCCAGTTCACAGCCGGTGGGTGTAGATACCACTCTCGACAGCCATGCTCCAAGTTCACCTTTCCTGCTTCTGTCCCTGCTTTGCTTTTTCAGACTTCTGTGCTTCCTGGCTTCCAGGCTGTCATGCCCTGACCTCACACAATGAGAACCCCAAAGCTTCCCCTGTCCCTTCAGCTGCAACACACACTCTCTCTCGAATCTGAAAGCTCTCAGGTGTGGTGCTATTTACCTGTATCACAGGTGCTGGTAGTCAGGATGTGTCCCCATCTGAGTGAAAGCTCATTGAAAGCAGGTCCATGTCTGATGCCACTTAATACTAAGCCTGGAAAATAGGTGCTGAGTAAAAGCTTGTTTTCATTGGACAACCATAGGGGCAATTGCAAGCTTATAGGCAACGTGTGTTCATCTTTCACATCCCCCACAGTATCATTATTCTTGACGATCTCATCAAACTGGTTGAATTTCGATATCTAGCATTAAGGAAATAATAATCAGTGCAGTACCATTTCTTGAGCCTGAGTGCAGGTGGAATTTTAGAGGGACATTTTAAAATAGCCCTTTCTTATTTTTCTTAATTCAAAACCAATTAAAAAGAATACAGGAGACAAATTTGTAAAAGCTTTATTATGCTATGGTTCTACATTGAGAATTTAATGGGTATCCATCATGGGCATCCTTATACTTCACCCCAAAATTAAAGTTACCTACAGAACTGGGGAGCAGCCCCTATTCCAAAGGGAGGAATGACTAGAACTCATCAATTGTGCAGGTAGATCCAAAAGGAGATACCAGATGGGTTTCCTGCACCATCCAGACCCAGGAGGCATTTCAGCTCCTTCCCACCTGATAAGTGTTAGCCTCCAGAATTAGACACCTCGTAAAGCATATCCCCTGCCTTGGCTTGGTGACTGTTTATTCCTGGGGTCTGCTGGCCCTAGTCCGATTGGTCTCTCTCCACATCACTGTGCCAACAGCATGCAGAGGTTAGAAGGCTGGGAGCCCTGTTATCCATGTCTTGATCCATCCTCACTCTCTTATCCCATTTTCCCTGTTGGTCATAGGAGCAGATATGCCATCTGTAGCCATGAGATGTCTTAAGCAAACTAGCTCATGAGTCAACACTGAGTCAAAACCCCACAGAGTTTAGTTTTCCAAATGGCATTATATTAAGTCCCACAATATCTATCAAGCTCTGAATATGGGCTAGGCCTGTACTATGGAATACAGAGATGAGTAGGAAAGACCATCCTCCCTGGTGGAGCTCAGGATCCAGTGGAGAGGTAGACACACAGATCAATTAACACAAGGCTGTGAGCAAATAATCTGTATGTGGTGTTTGCCTCTCCTGGGAAGGGATCACAGGGAATGAGTGACTGATTTAACCTGGAGTGGCTGGGTGGAACAGCTCCACACTGCATGTAACCTGTACAAGAATCTAGAGCAGTGCCACTCAAGGGTGGTGCCGGTTTACCTTCCAAAATAACAGAAGTACAGAAACTAAAAGGACGTTTTTAGAAATTTTTATAGCAATTGAGACTGTATGACATCCATGGACATTATTGGTGTATTTTCTAAAAGTATGCTTCTGCTATTAAAATAAATGAAAATGAAAAAAACATTTAATAAAAATTAAAAAGAATAAACTGATCCCACACCAGGTAGAGAAGGAAAGAAGCGAACTCCAGATAGAAGGTCCAACACATATGAAAGTGCAGAGGTGGGATTCACACAAGGGTGCATCATGACTGGAGAAGAAGGGCTCATGATGAGGCAAGAGTGATGGACAGGGAGGGAGATGAAGCTAGCAGGATAGGCATGGGTGAGGCTGTGAAAGGCCCTGTTGGGTGCAAGTATCCCACAATCTCCATAAGGAAATCTTGTTAATTTTAAAAATCAATTTGTGGAATGTAATGAGCAGTAGCTTTTCTTTCTTGGGAAGACACAACACAACAGAAAAACAAGCCCCTTGGCCCCTCATGAGACAACACAGGCAAGCTCATGGGGAGCATTGTATCCCAGGGAACCACACTCTGGTCCTCTCAATGGCCTGTGTGGAGTTCAGGCCTGCTTGAGCATGCTAAGCCCAAGGAAGGTTTATCTAAATCAACACAACCTTACACAGAATGAGCCAGATATGACCCAATGGTGTCCATTATGAGGGAGGAAGCCTGTGTAGAACCAGCCCAGGCATTTTTCTAGCAAGAAGGGGCAAAGATGTCAGAACTTCCAGCTCTGGCCCACAAGGATTTTCTCGACCTCTCTCTCTTTTGTCCTCTAGGGTGACACAGATCTCAACAGCAGACCATTGAGAGGAAAAATATATGAAAATGGAAAACTGGGTCTTCCTGAGAATGTTTGCTACGCAAAGGAAAATACAAGCCAGAGACAGGTGCTAAAGAATAAAGATCGCTGTGGAGGGAAGTGGGTTTGGGATACAAATACCCAATAATTAGAGGAATTAAAATTAGCATGGCTTTCCTAAGACTGTATCAAGCTGTGTAAGCACTTGGAAAAAAAATAGCAGTGGGTCTGTTTCAGTTGAGATCCTACATATTCATGTCAAGGATGGAATATGTAAAGTCTGTGTGATCTGGCTGTTCTCTAGAAATAATTCCTCACATGGACAATTTTAATGACTTGTCCCAATGCAGCTTAAATAAAAGAAATATGAAAAATAGACTGACTGGAGGTTGTTTTTAAGTGAAGAATTTTTATTTTTCTACGACTTCCAAATCCAAAGGCAATTTTTACAATATATCAGAGTTCTGTTGTGTCACTATATCCTAATTCACAGGCTTGTTTCTATTGAAACCATGAAAACTATGAAGTCTTAGTGA